CTAGATGTTAACCCCTCATAGAAATAGCTCACAATGCGCCAACTCTCATAACCATGGTGTGGACAAAGAGCTTGAAGTTCTTTATATCTTTCCCACGCTTGATATAAAGTTTCACTCTCCTTTTGGATAAAAGAAGAGATCTGCTTTTTCAAAGCAATAGTTTTGTGGTGGGGAAAGTATTTGCTAAAGAATATTTGAGTCATTTCAGCCCAAGTGCCAATCGATCGTGGTCTCAACGAAGACATCCAACTTTTTGCTCTATCTTTAAGTGAGAATGAGAAAAATTTAAGTTTGAGTGCATCCACTGTATCACGTTGATTGTAGAATGTTGCAATCACCTTCTCAAATTTCCTAATATGCACATATGGATTTTCATTTTCAAGTTCATGAAAAGTGGGAAGAAGTTGAATCATTCCCGGTCTAAGGTTCATATGTGGCATGTTATGTGGAAAAATAATGTATGATGGTATGGATATGCGTGTGTGATGAAGATAATCATGCAAAGTTCTATATGGTGCATCATGCTCACTATCAGACATTGTGTTATGTGATGTGGTGTTCGTGTTAATAGATGCAGAATAAAAAACATGGTTAAAAAAATGTTCAAACTCTATGAGAGATGTTTCCACAAATCTTCCTCGCTCGTCCCGATACCTGCTCATAAAGCACAATTAAAAGGAAATGATGTGAGAAAAACAAATAATAAAGAAATATAACAAACTAACAAAAAATGAAATTGAAAAAGGGAACGAAGTCACCATTTTGCTAGATGATCCTTCAACTAATTGTATCGTCTCCCCGACAATTGAATATTTAACACGGTAGTTGTAGTGCAGTTTTGGGGTGTCATATCCACATGAAAATGAAAAAATATTTAAAGAATAAAAAATACTGAATTGTTCTCTCAAATGTGTAATAAAATTCAATGTTGAAATGTGGAATTAAAATCAATAATTCGAAGCAGTGAAGCATCAAAATTCTTTCAATTGGATTGGATCAATCATATCAATTATTCATTTTTATAACACAATTAGAGGATTTCATCCCTGCACTCTAATCGGAAGATATATCGTGAAAATCAATTTAATTTACAAATGTAATTCTAGAATTTAGATTTAATACATATTCGCACAATTTTATCGGAACAAGATCAAAGATCGAACATACACATCAAGTATAAGGCAGTAATCAATCCCCCAATAAAGTGAAATTGAGATTAAAATTCAACAACTAGTTTAATCTAACAATAGAAAAAGCATGACTGGATCTATGAAGGATATAATAATTGTTAAACCAATTTCAACAACAAATAATTGAAATTGAAATTCAATAAATAGTTTGATTGAATAATGGAAAAAAGCATGATTGAATTCATGAAAAATCTTATAAATATTAAACCGATTTTAATATAAATTCAAGAGAATGAAAATCTCAATTATAGTATTGTTTTACAATGAAAANGTTTAGTTCTTCATGGGTTTCTTGAACCAAAATCAATGAAAGAATGGTGTAGAATGAAGACTGGGGCGTTTGGGCCGTTCTAGGGTGTTTTAGGGTTGAGAAATTGTGCCAAAATAAGTTACTATAAGTGGTTGAGTCGTAGAAGGAAACCAGAAATTTCATCACAGAAATGACTTATGCGGCTGCAAGTTATAAACTCATGCGGCCGCATGAAACAAAGAATTGCTACCATTGGATTCTCGGTAGATGACCATGCAGCAGCATGGTTTTACAACCATGCGGCCGCATGGTTATAATGTTTACCCGCCGAATATCTTTCAGTATTTTGATCGTATCTTCATTTCTTGATATCCGATTGAGGTGATTTAAGATGCATTGAAAAGCTAACTCAAAGGGTTACAACCTTTCTTCAGATACTATCTTCGAATTCGATCGTTTTCTATATAAAAAATTGGTCTCAATATGAGACTGAAAATCGGTGCAAAACTTTTCAGCTTGTTAGTTGATATGTGATAATGTTTTGGCTATATTTCATCCATTTGACTCCTTCCTTCATCCAATTGACCTCTAATACTCTTGAATATTTATCACAAGGTGAGAAACAAGTTTAGAGTATTTACTCTTTAGTCCCCAAGCTTTCACTTTCTTTTATTTTGATTTTTTTTCGCTTTTTTCTTCAATTTTCCACCGTTTCCACCCATTTGCAACCAAACCAAGATATAGAAGTACTTAGTGCATTTAGGCATCAAATAATCATACAAACACAAATATTAATGGGTAAAAAACATAGAAAATGTACTATTATCGTAAAATATTAATGGGTGAAAAATGTAAAAAATGTGCTATTATCAGACCAGATAGAGCTTTGCACATTAGATATGTCCTCGCTGTAGATTACCTCATCAGTGAAGCAAGCAACTTTTCAGTAACTTACCGACTACTCGCCTCAGGACATGGAGGCGTTGACCTTGAAGACACAAACAATGTGTGAAACTGCATTTTTAGATCTAATGAGAGATCTTAATACTTATGGGATGGAGCTTGCTATACCATCTCTTTATCCTTTCGATGAAGGCTAAGTGAAAATATCTACATTCCAAAGTTGGGAAAGCTCCTCTTAAGCTCATTCCCGAGGTGATCTTCTTAGAAGCATCCATTTTATTTCATTTTTTTTTCTTTCTTTAAAATTTAGTTTTAAAATTATTTTATATTAAAATTGTAAATTTACCATTTTATCCTTTATATATATTGTAAGATTCAATTATTCTGATCAACTAATGATCATTCATTTGTCTTTCTCTATAACGAAATAAAAAATTTGGGATTGTGGATAATAGAAATGAAAATTTTGTGTAAGGTCCACGATATAAAATGAAAAGTTTGAAATCGGCAATTCTCCTTTGTTTAATTCCAATCTTTCTCAAATATGGGATAATTTAAAATATGACGCCACGTGGACAGATGCACGTTAAACGGATGCAAACCTATTTATAATCCAGTCTTTATTCTTCATTTCTGTTCCGCCTATTCTCTCTCCTCTCCTTTCTCTCTCTAGAATTCTCACTCACTCAGAAACCCTACACCCTAATTTTCTAGATTATTCATTCAATTAATCCCAGATTTTTCAAACAAATTTTCTGTGTTTTTCTGGAACGTTAATTTTCCAGAGATGGCGAGTTCCACCACCAGCAATGTTTATGCCCATGTCATCGAGGACGTCATGAACAAGTGCCGCGATGAGTTCATCGACAACGGTGGTCCTGGCGAGAGTGTTCTCAATGAGCTCCAAGCAGTAATAATTTCTTTTACTCTGATTTACTTCTTAATTATTTTTTGGTCTGGCTAAAAGAACTTGTTGCTTCTTTATTGATTTTGGGTGTTTTTTTTACTAAGAAAATACTAAATTTTGAATATTATTTGTGAATCGAATTTTTTTGGTTAATTTGATTAGTGGGTTTGTATATGATTAATGTTTGGGTTTTGTAAGTATTGGATCGGTTGAGGTGGAATTTAAGGTTGATGGTGAGTTTGTTGGTGTCTTTTATAGTTGTGGGAGTTGAAGATGATGCAAGCGGGGGCAATTGTGGGCCCCATAGACAGGTCTGCGACACAAAAGGCCGCACCTGGGGGGCCCATTCCTCCGAATCCTGTGCATGACCTCAATGTTCCCTATGAAGGCACCGAGGAGTACGAAACTCCCACTGCTGATTTACTTTTTCCTCCGGTGAGCAATTCATTTTTCCATTTTGTGCATCCGTAATGTGAAAAGTCAAGTTAAAGATAAAATTCTCTTATATATAATAATTAACAAACGAAATTTCTTGTTTGGTGCACATAAACACCGTTACAGACGCCATTGCCAGGGACAGCCCAAACTCCATTGCCTGGCTCTGCCCAGACTCCGTTGCCTGGGATGGCCCAGTCTCCTCTCACTGGAATGTCCGACAGCAGTTCGTTGTATAACATTCATACTGGTGGAACCCCAATAACCCCAGATGAGTATTCATCTTTGAATGACAATGGTGGGATTCCCAGCACAAAAGCTGGATCTTCGAGACCTAGCCCCTATATGGTATCTTTTGCATTAGCTTTTCTTCATCCTTTTCTTTTTGGGATGGACAAAACTTTTCTTCAGAATTTTGAGTTGAGATATTTTGTTTCTGAGATATTTTTGTCCTCCTATTCTTTAAATCTGCATAGAGGTTTAAACCTGGTTGTTTTAATAGTTAATTTTGCATGATATAGTAAATCTTTATTCTGAAATTAGATGACGAATGTATATATATATATACATACATACATACANTCTTGATGTGAATGTTGGTAAGTAAACACACAAAAGCTGGTTACACAGTTTTAATGATTCTTTTTCCTTCTAAGCACTAATTGTTATTTGCAGCTTATGTCGAAGGCCGGGAAGAGGGTGAGAGGAGAGCCCCTCATCTTCCTTCGACACAGGTGACTATTATTCGTGGTTCAGGTTGACATTTATTGAGTTACTAGTATTTCATACAAAGAGAACTGTAGTGCATTTGTTGTGCTAATATAGGCTCTCCTCATTTGCACGAGATTGATGATTTATTTTATTTTTTTCATTACATGCTTTTTGCTTTTTTAAGAAACTAATAAACTCACATGTAACACGTACATACATATTTGAGGAAAGGAATTGGAACCTAGGTGCAGGATATGCGAAGGCGAGATAAATGGTGTTTGATCTCTATCTAACGATCTCCTAGCTTGGATCTAACTACTTGAGTTTGTTAAGCTAATGCAAAATCTGCAATCATTTCCATTGAAGAAGAAAAGAGGAAAACAACAGAATATGATATATGGCATAGTATTAAAAAGATGAATGATTGCCTAAATGCTTAGTAAAAGTTAGTATGGAATTTGTCCCATTTCACGATTGAATTTTTTTAGTATGGAATTTGTCCCATTACTGGATTGAATTTTTGTTGTGCCATACTAGTATTATAGTCCAAATTGTTGTGATTCGAGCAAACTTGTAAATAGGTTACTTGTTAAAGAGCTGTTGTTCCGCATGTTTGGAGAGTATCACTTTGCAATAAGGTTAATGATCCAGTGGCTTTTGAAGCACAAAGGAAATTGAGAGTGTTCACTGCTGTTGCTTTGCGGTTACCAATCTTACTGTATTATGGAGAACATTGAGATAATTTGATCAAATTTCCATTTTTAGATGTACTGATTCAAAAGAAAAATATATTAGGTAATTTGGTCTCGTGAGAAATTGAGATGCCTGAACAAAAAGGAAAAAAGACAAAAGGCATGAGAAAATGAGATGCACGTGTGAGAGATTGAGAAAGACCTATGTGACTATCTCTTGTTCAAAGTGCTCCTTTTGCTTTCAGTGCTCATGTTGAAAGCTTTAGCTTTTAATGCGGCATTTCCTAAATCAACCTCCACCCTCAATGTTAGAGGCAACAAAATTTCTTTCCTCTTCTTACCTGGTGAGAAAAATTCATCAATTTCTACTTCTTAATCAGGATTCTACCAGTTCAGATTTTTCTCTCATTGCCTTCTCTATGGTTATTCAAGTCTCTTTTAGTCTTACTGATTCCACGAAAATCCATATTTACAACGTGAATTTTCCTTAACAAAGAATGGACAAATATGACCAAAACTGCTCTCCAAAAAGTTAGATGTACGGTATTCAGTGTTTTAAAAAATGTAAAGCTTGATGAAGCGTGGAGGCCAAGCTTTGGCCTAGGCGTAAAAATGCATTTCTTATTTTAATATTATTTTAAAATTTTAAATCAATCTAAAAATTATTTAATAATTAAAGAAAAAAGCGTCAAGAGTAAAAAAAGTGTGTCTAGGTGAAAATAAAAATAAAAATGCACAAGGTGCGCTTAGGCGCCACTTTTTAGAACATTGACTATAGTGTATGATTGAAATATTCATTGATATATGTAAACTACATTACAGTTTTTGACATTTGCTACAAGAAAATAAATCAAAGTTTGTTTTCTTGTTTTCTATGGACACCACTGTCCATGGTGCCAATGATCAATATGGACTTAATAGCTTAGGAGATTGAAGAGGCTTCAAAGTTTATTCTCTGCCTGCACAATCGTGTCATTGTGTAGCTTCATCTCTAAATATCTATTTTAGGTGCAAGTTTAATCAGCTTGATGATATTGGGATTGTTCTAATACCTAGTGATCAAAATTTTGATAACCTTTGTTTTTCTCATTGACAATGGACATCACCATTTGTGGTGCCAATAGTTTCACATGGAGTTAAAGTTCTGGACTTTATCCCTCTGCGTAGATTGAAGAGCTCTCACAATTCTTTGTTACTGAGTAACTTCATCTCTAAATAGTTATTTTATGTTCAAATTGTAATTTTCTCAATGGCAATGAGTCCGTTCTGCTTCATTTTCTATTCAAATTTAAGAAACCAATAAAGTGCAACTAAGACAATGTGTAGACAATTTATTATGTAACTTTTTATGTTTAAAAGAGCTCAAACTTTGTGTTATTGAGTAACTTCAACTCTAAATATCCATTTTATCTGTGCATGTAAATTTCTCAATGGCAGTGACTTCGTCGTGCTTCATTTTTCACTCATAATTTTAAAGAACTAATAATATGTGCATCAAAAGCTTCGTGCAATCCTTAGACAACTTGTCATGTTACCATTGTTAAAAAGGGCTCAATCAATTGGCACATCTTACCTTGGTGAGGCATAAGCTTTGAGTCATTTGAAGTGTAAGTTTCAACACAAACCAATTAAACAATTCAGTAGACAATAAAGCTGAATGTGCAGCTTTATTTGACAATTTTTTTGACAGCTCCCTCGTGGGCCCCACCCCCATGTTAGGAGCCTGTCAAAAAAACTATCAAATAAAGCTGTAATTGTAGCATGGTTCTTCAATAGATTATAAAAGTACAAAATTATACTCATGATATCCATAAACCATATTGAATTAACAAAATGAAAATCTAACTTTCACCCAAACATAAAATAGACCAATAAAGTAGCAAAAAATAATTTCTTAAATTAGTAATAATAACATAACAAAATTGTGATACACTAATAGGAGTAGAAACATACAAGAAGTCTCTGTTATCGTCCTAATCACTATCAATTTCTTCTCATTCTTTGACATCGTTTTTCACTTGCAATGGTGCCTTCTCCTTCCCCTTCCGAAGAAAACAAAAAAACTCATTAAAAGTTCTAGGTAATAAAAGAAGAGCCTAAAAGGTTGAGGTGAGTGGTAAAAAGTCCAGAAAAGGCAAGAAAAACAAGCGCACTTCTTAGTAGCTCTAAGACTTAGTATTTAAGCATATGCCTCGAGGCTTTTGGTGAAAGCGGTGAGGTTCACCATGGGGTTGGGTTGGGGGTGCTAAAATTAAAAATACACTTAAGATATTTCTAAAACATCTCTCCCTCTTAATTATTGGAGAGCACTCTGTGCGGCATGGTTTGTACCTTGGTGCCAGACACATTGTCAATCTTGCCAGTTACGTATAGGCAGTGAGGGAGAAGATAAGAAGCAGGCATTATATTTTAAGGCCTTTGCATGAAGTCAATCACTTTTATGTCCAGTACATATTTCACATCAAACCTAGATCCCTTATTCGCATCAAACCAAGATCCCTTATTATTCTGGATTTATATGACTGGAAGATGATGGAGTACAAACTTTATATCTATTACTCACGGCAGATTCTTGAAATAGAGAGAGGGGTGGGTTAGCCACATACCATCTAATGGTAATTTAATAGTTGGTATATGCTACTAAATTTCTTATAGAAAAACAAAAAAAGGACAGGCAAGTGTATTCCAACTGTTAAATTATCATTAATCATGACATAATGAGCATTTCTATTTTTGTTTATACTGCAAGATTTTGCTTCCTTTTTTAATTGAAAATGTGGTTATGTTCTGTTCAATAACGAATGTCCAACTTAATTAGAAGAGATCGAAACCAACAGTATCTTTAAGCCAATATATTATGTTATGATTATTAAACTGGTGCTCAGTTAGCTTCAGCATAATCAAAGCTCAAGTTCATTACAATTTTGGGAATTAGAAAGAGAGAAAATTAACCATTGCTTAGAACATCAGTAGAGTAAGGAAAAAGAATAAGAGAAGTTAGATATGTCATTTCTCAACGTTGGATCTTTTGAATATGGTAGCACAATAAGTTTTCGGATTTGCTCACCAAATGACGGTGTGGAATCAATGATTCGAGTGTGCAACTATTGAAAAAGAAAACTTGGTGGTGAATATTTATTGTTAGGTCAAGAAACTATGATTGAAATGAAATTTTATTGTGGATGTGGCTAAATTTGTTAGGGTTGTTGGAAGATTCGTTTGAATGTGTGTGTGATGGAATTGCATTCACCGGCGTACAGTTCCTGAAAACTGGGAAGAGAGCTGCTCTTCTTTATAAATCTTTTTTGTTCCCTTTTTACGATAAATAATATTCTGGCTTCGCAACATATGAGTTGGGTGTTCCCAAAGTGTATCAAGGAAGTGGTGTGGGCATGGAAGAGAAAGTTTCGAGATAAAAATAGCAAACTTGTTTGGGATCTTATTTCAGGATGGATCGTTTGGTGTGTGTGGAGAGAAAGAAACGGCAGATGCTTTGAAAATCAAATACGGACGACAGTGCAATTTAGAGAATTGTTTTACTTGACTTTGTATAATTGGTTTNGCAACCGTTAATCCGATAGAAGGGTTTTCAAATTTTTTATCGTTTCTATCTTGTTTAACTTTATAATGCACTCCTTGTGTATTATCTTTTATTTTTGATTTATAAAGATTACGTGATTACCTATAGAAAAAAAGATTAATTCTGTCATCCAAGGTGCTTATAAGGGAAATTATCATCTTCAGCTTATGTTTTCGCATAAAGAATTTCCTTCTATTGATATTCTTTTAATTATGCTATTCTGGGCATTGCAGGATTTCTTCACAATGCCTTCTGGAAAGCGAAAGAGGGAAGACTTTCCTTCACAACAGAACACTGGTGGATACATCCCACAGCAAGATGGAGCTGGAGATACGATATCAGATGATATGATGGTAGATCTTTTCCTTTCCGATTCCTTATCAATTTAAATGGATCCTTGATGTTCCATATGGCCAAAATATTATTACCGGCCTTTCAGAAGAATGCATAGTTCCTTACAGAACTTGTAGGTATTAACCTAAAGACCATTGACCTCGTCTTTCCCTATTTAACACTTTATTCTTATTCTGGTATAATTGAAGCTTAATAAAATGCATTTTCTCAATCTTTTGGCAAATTAATGACACATTACCTACATTCTAATTCAGGATAATTTCTAGATCTCTCTCATTTCCTTGTAGATTTAATCATTCAAAATAGTAATTGTTAAAAATTATCATAATGCTATTCGACTGAGTATGCACTTATCTGTTTATCATTGAAGCTTAATAAAGCACACCTTCTCAATCTTTTGGCAAATTGATGACGTGCTTTGTAATTTGTCCTGAGGCAGCCTTTCAAGTCACCATTTTCTTCTTGCTTTAGTATTTGCTGTTGTTAGTGGTTTCTGGTTTGTTTTCAGATATTTTGAGTAAGCTAGATACTGTGTTTTGTGAATTTTAACTTTTTGAAGATGATCAACCAGAAATTATTCATGATGCTAGCCTTGGAAATGACTGAAGCTTTCGGATGAACTTTTTCCTTATAGTTTCTTGTTTTAAATGCTATGAACTCCTGAATTTACCTCCACCTTTGTAGCACAGAGTATATTTTTTCAATTTATTTAATTTCCTGTTTTCATTTCTTGAGCTTTTTGAAAGTAAATAGTGGTCTTCCCTATGAAAAGAAGGATGCGCCTATTGATTTCTCAGTATTTACTTTGTAACAAATTGTCCTTTACTTGATTATCATCGTTCTTGAGAAACAGCCAGACTATTAGACATCGATTAAATAAATTGATTAAATAAATTGGTTTCTTAACCCCTAGAATTCTTAGTATTGTAGTTCAATCCATCGGAAACTGCCATGTCAAGTGGGAATATAAAAAGCTTGGTTGTACAGAGAGTGGATGCTGTACCCCAAAAGTCAGTTCTATGGCTCATAGGTCTAGAACACGGGGAACAAAAACATAGAACCTTGATGGAAACTTGTCAGTTGCTATTTGAAATGCATAGCATCTCTCTCTGAAACATGAAAAGTTGAAAATAGGAAAACACTAGAAAAAATGAAAAAGGAGCAAAAAAACAAAAATAAAAAAATAAAAAAAAGAGAGAAAAAAGAAAGAAAGAAAATGTTGATTGCATTATTTTGGGGGTTATTATCTCTTTACGTGCTTTATGCTAAACATCCTTGGAACATTTGCATAGGAGGAGAAAAGGGAGAAACATTGATATGTTATGATGCAGAGGTTTGAGGGTTAGGCCTTCTTTATAGAGAGCTTACTTTCGTAAGCTCTTAGTGTGCTTGGGTAGTGCTTCATCTGTAGTTGTTTTAATGACTTATCTCCTTATGGGATAGATGGAAACATAAATTAGTTGCTTGGCGGTTAGTTTGATTGGCTTTGTATTGTACTTACAGGTCAGATGTACCACTTAGATGGGTTTACGTGTTTTAACCTTCAATGATATTTTTTTTATCTTCTCTATTTCTGTATCTTTATAAACTGCTTCATGGTCATTTGACAGGTAGATCAAGGGAGCAGCAGTCAGCATTTTTTGGTAAATGCTACCCAACAGATGGTTGTTCAAAGGGAGGGACTGTCTTCTAGGATTCCTCAGTTGGATGGTCCCATGCCTGACCCATACGATGACATGCTTTCTACACCTAATGTTAGTTTTGCTTCTTTGTATTTGAAATGTATGTTTTTGTGCATCTCAAATGTGGATAGCATGGAGGGGTGTAATGTTGTTTTCACTAGGCGGATCTTTTGTATATTTGTGATTATGGTCTATGTGCTGGCATGTGCCTTCATTTGACTGCATTTTTCTTCTGACGCATGTTTTTTCCTAGTTTTATGACTAACCACTCAGCTTTTATGATGTGTGTCTATTACTGTTTCTGTTGCTAAGCGCACAACGTTTTCAGATGGGTATGTCATTATTGAAGAAAAAAAAAATATATAATGAAGGCTAAGTGCCTTTGGCTAGTGATTGAAAGGTATGCGCAAAGTATTTTTTGAAAGAACTTTTTACATTCCGTAAAAGGTTTGGTGAATGCTGAATTTTGTTGAAAAGGAACGCAAAAAACAATTTCATGAAGCAAATATCTGTTGTCTCTTAACTATAAATATGATACAAATAACACTTAAATATTACTTAATTTATTGAATTATTCTTTGAAAAAATGAAGCATATGTTAATCATAAAAGGGTTTCAATTAACCAAGAAAGTTCTGTCATTAGCTTGGATGCCAAATTCTCTCCTTAATGGAAGTGTAACATTTGTTACCGTTCATTATCAATTTTTCTACTGTTAGAATGGGTGAAATTGTTGATTTTTTGGCCTCTTCTACATTAACTTTGAGACAATTCAAAATCACATGACATGTTGATTTTAATTTGAAGATAAAGGATTCCAACAGTAATTCTTCTTTTTTGTTTGCTCTGATCTTTCATTTTCTTGATCCGTATTTAATCAAAAGAGATGTAATTTTGGAAAAAAAATTCATGTCATATATTAATTATCGTTTGAAGATAAAAAATTTAAGCTGCATTTTTTATTTTGGTCTGCTTTTTGCATTTTCAAAATTCTTTTTTAATCCTTGCATATGTAATTTCGTAATGAACTTGTCGTGTCTCATGAAACTCTTGCACCACTCTGGCTTAGCAAGATTAATAGCATGCTTAAATAAGCTTAAAAAGTTTATTTAGAAGTGAATAAGTAAATTTTGTAATAAATAATTCTATTTATTGGTCAAAGTTGGATAAGTAAGTTATTTTGACATTTAAATAACTATTTTTTTTACTTAAAACTCCAGAAAAGAAATGCTATCCAAACATGTTTGGAATTAAACTGTACTTGAAGTAACTTTTATTTACTTTTAAGCTTCACCAAACTTGCTCCTGCCCTCCATTGCTATTAAATTTAATTTGCCTTTTATCTTTAAAAGTTGACACTATCAATTGGAACCCTACTTGGAGGACTTGGAAATTTCATACATGAATTCCTTCAAATTTATTTGTCTTTGATTTATCACATGGAACTGGTATTGGTCAAGGATATATTTGCTCTAAAAATGGCACATTCCCTGGAATTTTAGTATTTACATAATTGGTTTCTCTGGCTTTCAGTTGTATGTTCTGAGATAGCCATTTCCTTTTTTAATGTCGCAGATGAAATTTCATTCTGTCGTCTAAATGTGGAGTGGATAAGAAGTCTATGAATCTCTTTTTACTGATTAGCTCCCGAAACTTTGAATTTTGTTCAAGTTAAATTAAATGCTGTGGAAACAATTTGAGAGTTTTTATCGTCACTTGATCAACTAAATATTAAAAAACTGTGTGCTTGGTGGTTAAAGAGCAGTAAATGGTTCGTTGTTATTGTAATGGCTGATAACATTATTATTCAGCATCCTTCATTTCAATTGAACTGTGCATATCCTGATCAGGATCTCTCATATGCTCGCTACCATTTCATCTTAATTATTTCATTTTTCACTAGAACCAATACAAATTTATTTTCTTTTCATTTATGTGACTGTAATATGTTCCTTTTTTAACATGATGAGGCTCAATGGAAGTTCTTGACTTACCTGGCTGCTTTATTGTGACCTGAAGATATACAATTATCAAGGTGTTGCCAACGAAGACTACAATATTGTGAACACGCCCGCGCCGCATGGTATAATTCTTCATCTATCTTGCACCATGTGATATGTCAAAGTATTCATGCTCTTATTTATGCAGTTTGTTAGTTAGTTATCTAGAGGGGGTTGATGAATATAAAATTAAGCAAATTCTTAAGTTTCTAATTTTTAGACTTCTGAAATCCCCTTCTGATTTCAGTGTAAGTGCAGCAGAATAAAAACTGCAAGTGCTCAGTGTCAGTGCAATGGATTCGTCTTAAAGTATTCATGCTCTCATGTTGATGCGATTTGTTTGTTAGTTATCCAGACGACTAAGCAAATTCTTAAATTTCTAACAATTTTTAGACTTCTGAAATCCCCTTTCAATTTCAAAATTGTCAAGTGAAATGGATTTTATGCTTTTTGAAGAACAGTATTTGTTCAGAACAGTATAAAATGTAATATATGAATCAGAAAAGATGGAGATGTGCACATTGCATTTATCAATGTTTAGGTTAATGTACCTATGTCCATTGCTAAAAAGCTTCCCCTTCGGGTTTCAATAATTCAACTATTTGAAGTCAACAACAATAGTGATCTTTGTTCCTTTGGACTGTCTGTTCAATTACATCTTTAATCCTTTTCTTTTCTTTGGATGGTCAGTCAAATTACTCCATAATCTTTTGATTAAAAGGTTAGTGTTACCTACAACAACAATCCTTTTCTTTCAGTTTGAAGGATCAGTCCAACTTAAGCAGCAAAAAAACTAATCCTTTACAGGATTACGCTTAGACGACCAACTAGAAAGAAACTGTGTCGTAATCTAGCTCATTAAGAGCCTCATCAATAGGGTATATAGTAATTTAAGTTCAGCAGGAAATCTTAGCAATGAAGTTTATATGTGATCGTTGTTTCAGCAGAGAATATGATGGCTTGAGCTCAATGCTTCATATCATTATTTGTACAAGTTCGTTCAAATAAGTAATATCTTGACGAAATATAACAAGAGATATGCAAGAGATGTAATAAGATATAGTGTCGAATTGTTACTTTTTGAAGAATGTGACAATGGAGCGCAAGTGATTTGACTTGTGGATACAAAGTTCAAGTACCAATAGCTCTCAGAGATTCTTATATACTTTGAAATTAAAAGCTTATTTGTGTCGGAGAAAAAGATAGGTATTCTGCAGACTGATGATTAACAGCTTAACAATGGCCAACTAAAGATGCATATAAGTCAATTAACAAGGCTTGATAAGGTTATCTTTTGATCTTTTTTCGGCAAAGATGATAGTGGATAGTTGGGATAGAGGAGATGGGGCTGAGTTTAGTTTCCTATGTATTATAAAACTCAGCTTGACATTCCATTGTCCCTTTTACTTTGGCAATTTCACCATGTTGCAATACTTGAGATCCTTTATCCAGTTCAGATGGCTGCTTTATGGTTTGATGTCTGGGCAAGGTTGTTTGGAACTCTTGTCGGATAGAGAGACTTCTCTTTCATATCATCAACCCAACACTCTTAGACTCTCTTAAATACAAAACTTGTTTGGAATCATCTAAACCTGAGAGGTCGAATAGCGTTAAGCCTCACAGTTGTTCTGTCATCTGCATGTTTTTTAGAGATGCAAGCACCGACTCCAGCTCCTGCTCCTGCTCCCCAGAATGACATTGCAGATGATGACGAAGATGAACCTTTGAATGAAGATGACGATGACGATTTGGATGACGTGGACCAAGGGGCAGATTTGAACACAGCACATTTGGTTCTGGCACAATTTGACAAGGTAATGACCCAAAGAGAGTTTTCCGGGTCATTTGATGTGTTCTCATGCTTTTAGCTATATTATTTCTGCAATGATGATATATCTGATGGATGCTTGTTTTATAGGTTACACGTACCAAAAGCAAGTGGAAATGCACTCTGAAGGATGGCATTATGCACATAAACAACAAAGACATCCTGTTTAACAAGGTGTTTCTGTCTTAAAAATAATTCTCATTAACTATTCCTTTTGCTTGATTCTTATACTGCTGTTCTTTACATATTGCTAGTGCATCCTCAGGAAATTTAGAATCATAATTTTTGGCGCTCTGTTTCTTCCACAGGCAACAGGAGAGTTTGACTTCTGATCTACTTACCAGATGGGCTTTTTTAGTTCAGAGAAAAACCAGAGATCTCTCTTTCTTTTATTTTGTCATCTTTGGTCTCTCTTATTAAGTGAAAACTTGAGAGGATTAGAATTGAGTCCCGTGATGCTTTTTAGAAAGTTTCCACTTGGCTATATGTACATGAAGACAGTTTTTGCTCTTATGCTCCTTCAAGTACCGTGAATCTTGCCTTATGTTGAACTCAGTAACGGCACTCTTTCCATGACATTAATTACTCAATACTAAATTCTATTTTAAGTACATCAGATTCGAATTTCCTTTTATTCGATTTTGTGAATTTTTATCTGACCATGCATCTTTTTACCCTCCATTTTCTGTGCTGTACTGCTCACCAGAAGGGCGAGCAAGTCAGGTGGGGGTTGGTTCCTGTGTCTATAATGAAATTTGGAATTGCAAGTAGGTTCATATTCATGAGATTAGATTGTGCATTTATCAAGTCGTTTACCATTCTAGTTATAGATGTACTTGCATACACAAATTTCAGAAATATTTTGTTTTGCCATTTAAAAAAAGGATGAGTCACATCCTTGACAGCCCCCACTTGTCCTGCCAGGAGTCTTGGTGAAGGAGGTAAATCGTAGGTTATGCCTCTAAGGATACAGGGTGGAGGCTGCTTGTACACTTACACTTACTCAATGGTCAAATCCATATTTTAGGATTTGAATCCTTGACGCGGCAGTCTCAAGCAAAGTTGGAGTTTTTCCACCTTCATCTTTTACCACTTGAAGATGTGCCTTAGGGGCTTGTTTTGCCATTTAACTTCTATGGTTGATTGTTAATAGAATTTTTTCACGACGGGCTGGCCTGGGGTGTAAACTTGGGCCTGGTCGGCCTGGCATAGGGCTAGATGGCCTAAACCTAGTCACGGGCCTTTTATCGGGAATACTACATAGGGAAAATTACCAAAAACTAGGGGTTAAGTTGTGAGTTTTTAAAATTCAGGTTTAAAGTTTATCTATTCAAAAATCAGGTATTTTATTTTATATATAAAACCCTATATCTATCCAAACCCGATATTAATCCATTTCATTTCTCTCTACCATCTCACCTCTCGCCTTCACCGCCTTTCTCTCACAGCGGCGACTCATCCACCGCCTCCGCCTCCTCTTCCTCCCCTTCTCCCTCCCTCCCCTTCACTGTTGGCGTCGCGAATCTACCACCATCGTCCGTTTCCCTCTCTCTCTCTCTCTCTCTCTCTCTCTCTCTCTCTCTCTCTCTCTCTCTCTCTCACCAGTTCTCTCCACCGCCTGCCGTCTCCACCGCCCCCTCCCTCCAAGCCGCTGTCGTGGATCTTTAACAAGTAGTCCTCGAATAAGATCCCGGCTGGCATAAGTGGTTGCAGAGGAGTCTGGAAATTTAAGCTGCTGCCCAACTACATTGAAAAGGGTTGCTCGATTCCCAGAGCCCTTAAATGGAGTTTTACCGTAGAGTAGATCGTGTAAGAATGTAAGAAAATACCAAAAGTCCACCAGTCCATTGCACTTCCATGGCTTTTTGCCTTGATGATTTCAGGGGCTAAGTATTCATGGGTGCCAACAAATGACATGGACCGTGCTGCAGTGGGTTCTGCAACTAGCTCAGGCAGTATGCCAGAGTGCAGATCAAGCTCTGCTCGTGGTTTTCCCGGATTATTTTTCTTACTTTTTTGACCAAAAATTCAATGAAGAAAACATGATGGCTGAATACATGCAGATGTGGGCTGAATACACACTAGCTGCACACAGAATGCAGCTCCTCGTTTAGTGTGTGTTGATTTTAGTGTGTGAGTGTTGTCTGCTATTGGGTCCGACGATTTGTGGTGGTTTTGGGTTTTTCTTCATTCTCCGATCTTCTTAGCGAGGTTGGTTTTTGTTGGTAGTGATTTACACATTGTGATGGTTTTTTTGCAAATGCAAATGGTGACGTGGTGGTCTGGCTGGTGGTGGTTGTAGCGTGGTATAGATAGAAATTGAGATGTTTGTCGAGGTGTTGGAGGCTGCGTGGTTGGTGTTATTGTTGGTGGATGGTTGTGGCAGCGGTGCCGAAGAGTGTTTGTGACCAACTATTTGGTCGGTCTGTGACCAAATATTGGTGGTGGATGGGGATCGGTGACGGGTGTTTTGGTGTTTGTGACCTATACGGTTCTCTATGATTAACTATTAAATCGTGACCTTAAAATTCGATAATTTGTAACTAAAAATATAATCTGTGACCAACTAATTTGGAAATATGTGACTTCTGTTATCTATAATTTCTTTTAACTTGTGACCAATTAAAAATTCGTGACTTACAGTTTTGTTTATCAGTGACCAATAAAGTCAATTGTGATTTATAAATTTTTTAATTTGTGATCTCGAAATAATCTGTGACCAAATAATTTGATAAGCCGTGACCGAAAATTAATTTTTAATTAATTAATAAGATATCTGTGACCGAATTGTATATGACTATGACCTTGACAATTGCCAGAATCGGAGCAGTCCCCTAAATTAAGCGGCGGCAGAACGGCTACCAAAAAAGTCGCCGGAGTAGTCGTCGGTCACCGGAATGGTCGTCTGAATAGGTTCTGGAGTAGAGTGGCCACCAGAACTGTCGTCGGAGTAGTAGGGGTGGTGGAGGTGGGTTAATTATATTATATTACAATTAAATATTTAATTAATTAATAAAAACCTGATTTTTACAATTTTGAACTTTAGCACCTGATTTTTGATTTTGGCAAAGTTAATACGCGATCCATGAATTTTTCCCCACACACCCAATCCCATCCTATTGTAGAAATCTCCAAAAATTCAAAACATTTTCTTTATGAAAGCTCTCGCTTTCTATATGTATTTACAAACACAAATAGGTGCAAGTGGTGGTGATGAGGTCGCAATTGTGCTTAGAAAATAGATCTGCGTGATGACGATGATGGTGCATTACAGTGATAAAAGTGCATTGAAGTCGATCTGTATGGTGGTGTTGATGAGGTGCAACAACATTATGAATACTGTGTGGTGATAGTATTGGTGCATTATAGGCAATCAAATTTGTGACTAACTGTGTTATCTGTAATCAGATTCATTATATGTGATCATACTTATATTATATGTGACTAATTGTAGCCAAATTTATCTCAATGTGCCCGTCAATGATCAAGTCAGTCTAATATATGACTGTATCTAACCAAGTCACTAACATGTGTTATATATGACTAAGTGTGACCAAATTTATCTTTAGTGTGACAACTAATTTGTGAGTGAAACTGTCACTATTAACACAAATCTGGTCATATTTGGTCACACCTGGTCATAGCCACCACAAGTTGAATAGGTGGCGTATTTTCTAAGCAATCCATAGCCTTCATTCACTAAACTCTCAATCAACCGGATCTTGATCGTTTTCAGTGTTGAATTCATAGCACTTTCCAAAAAACGTCACATTGTTTTCAACCCAACTATAGATTCAACCCACCCCCTCCTTTACAAGCCCACAGATTCAACCCATACGTAGAGGTGTCAAGACGGACGGACCGGCCATGACCCGAGAAAACCGGCCCGTGAAAACCGGGACCGCAGGCCGACCCCTGACCCGTGCGGGCGGTTCACGGGCCAAGGAGGTGTAACCCGCGGGCTTCGCGGGTTGCACCCCCACGGGC